TCATTGAATTGACCGAATCGACTCAATTGACTGAATTGATCTTTCTTCAAACATTTTTCCAATCAAAAAATTCACCATCCAACCATCTCAGTAGCCAATTTCAGAGCCGTTTCCTAAATTTCACATATTACAACCCATAAAAACAAGATCTATGTTCTTATGGTCCAAAAAAAGAGGTGAAAGACAATTGAAAGACACCATTTCAAGGCAATTTTCGATTTGTGAACGGAAAGGCTTTTCCGAAAGGAAAGGCTGTGAACGGCCTTTCCCCCCCTCAGACTCATCGGCTCCATTTACCAAAAATTCTCTTCTTTTATCTTTTCTATAGATGTTTATTTATCTCAGTATCTCAAGTCAATATCTTTTTCTTTAATTGAAAGAGTTTTGAAAGCAGGATCTCGGTGGGTTGTCCTGTTAAGTGGTTATCAAGAAATGATTCTAAGGATCAAAAGTCATCCATCCAGATCAAAAGTCATTCAGATCAAAATAAGTAAGAAAAAATACTCAGTTAATATCATAAATTATTTAAAAACAAGTATTTAAAACAATACTTTATCTAAAAATGTTTAAATTTCAACTAAAGTTCTTTAAAATTTCATAAATCTTAAACCTAGTTAAGTAAATTTTGAGAAATTTTCGTTTAACCTTAGCTAAACTAAACAATTGGAATATTTTAAAAGTCAAACCTTTCTAAATAGATATTATATTAAAAACACTGGCCGATTTACCCAACCTTTAACCTTAAACAAACCTCTACAAAAGCAATCACCAATCGGCATCCACCAAAAAGCAACATCCCCATTTCCCCCCTTCATTGAATACTCCTAAAATGGTTACTCTTTCTCGATTCACACATACAATGCCCAATGCCCAATCCATTCACACCCGCACAAAAGTTTTTTTTTCTTCATGGGTTATTCTTCAAATGTGTGAAGCGCTTCTTGCCCTTCTTTTGGCCGATCAAAGGGAAGCCGACGCATCGACGACGTGCTTTTCGCCCGTAAACCCTGACACACAGGAAATCGACACAATGATCACCCCCGGGATTTTCTTGGTTTGAGTCATTCTTTCATAAGAGGTTATCTAATTCTGAATTAGAGCTAAAAGCTTCAGATCTTTTCATGTCATTAGCTTTAGACTTGCTTGTTCATGCCATTGGCTTTAGACTTACTTGTTCATGTCATTGGCTTTAGACTTGCTTGTTCATGTCATTAGCTTTAGGCTTCTAAAATTTGAACTTAAAAACAACAGGGTTAGACTTGATATATTTTACAGCTGAAGAGATCTTAGTTATCAAACAGCTCGACAGATCACCTTTCAAGACCTGGCCAAAATTTTGCCAACCATGACAGCTTATCTCTTTGATAACACCGCTAGGTTATTGAATCTTTCCAACCAGCCAGCTACTATTGTTTGATCTATCCCATCTTTCCCCTAAAAGGATAACTATATTTTCGCTCATGCGTCTCTTCCATCTTCCTCCATTTTTGAGCAAACAGTCAAACAGACGGCTCCTTGAATTGCCGCCAAAATTTAGCGCACATCAGTTTTTGCCTTGATTCATTTTTAGATCATTCTATAATTCTATATTCTATAGTTCTATATTCTATAGTTCTTCATCCTTTTACCGTAACCCTTTCCTTTCGACAACCCGTCAAAATCGTCGCCACTAATCCGTAGAATCAGTCGCATCCTCTGCGATGAGGTTCTGATCAAATAATGGACTAGTTCTCAAAAAGCGAAGCACAGATTTTGTCACCACAAGGAAACAAAGAGATTGAATAAAATGGAAAATAGAAAACCAATGATCTTCATTTAATAATGAACAATAGGCGGGAAAGTGCTTTGAAATTTGATCTCTCAATCGTGAAAGGAATGACTTTGACACTTTCTAGGTTAAGTGAGCTCTAAAACTTGAGTCTACTTCTAATATTTTAAAGAGTTTGAACTCTTACTGAACTCTTTGATTTTAGCATTTTATTGATTCTTTTCAACTACCGTAATCCTGCCACTGGGGAGAAGTTTGGGCATAACGCTTTCCTTCGCCTCTCTTCAAATAAGCTGAGATTTTATGACTTGAGCTCTGATCTCTATTTTTACCTTTTTATTCTGATCTGATCTCATTTAGATTTAACTATTTAAATCTATAAGTATTTAAATAAAGTCTAAGCTAAGACTAAGCCTATTTAGAGTTTAAAAATCGTGACTTTAGTAAGCTAAAGCCAGTGCTAGAGCCAGTGCTAGAGCCAAACCTAAGCCTCAACATTTAGCTAAACCTAAATTTCAGTCTTTCACGACATTTTATTGATTTAGTCTTTAAAAAGTAAAAGATTCTTGCAATTGACTAAAGAAAACCATATTTCAAGCTCTTTCCATTTTCAGTTATCACTCCCAGGCGATCAGGCGGGTCTACCCGAATTTTCACGGTTTAACGCTCGAAAGTTTTCCACGTTAATTCCGCCTAAAGAGTCTCAAAACGGTTCTCCTTTTCCCTCGATTTCTCTCATTTCAACCCAACAATTTCTCCTCTTTCCTTGCTTCTCAAGTAGCTTACGAGCGCACAGTGGAGAGCCTGATTACGATAAGGACTCCAGTACCCCTCAGCTCCACCCCTCGACATACCGTTGTTGAACCGTACACCGTACATGTTTTCATTTTATTAAAAACTATTAAGCAGCGTTTACCAAACTTTGTTATACGTTAAAACTTTGTTAAGCTGTTGCCCTTTATTGAGATCTTTGCCAAAACCTTTGCTTTAACTAAAATGTTTACAATGATTTATCTAACACTGGTCGCATTCTTTACAATTCTTGAAGCTACAAGTTCACTGTAGTTGATCAGCTCAATCTATTAAACTTTTCATTAGAAATTATTTCAAAATTTTCAGCCATGCTAGCCGATGGTTTCTTTGCACAAACACGAGGATCCGTAGAAGTTTTCAAAGGGTTTTTAGGAGTTTCTCATGGAGCTCTATGAATGGCAGTTTGCAAGGGAAAATGGAAAAGCTTTTGTTGATATAGACCATGAAAGGATGGAGAAAACGATTCAATAGTCCTCTAAAAGAGGGAGCTGAAAGATTTGTGACGTCAGCTTGCTTTTTGGAGACTGATAGTAGGCTGGTTGTAATGGATTTGTATCAAGTTGTGAAAGAGTGTAAATTTTTGGTTTAAGTTTAGGAAAATAGACACAGTTTAAATTTTCTTTCTACTTAAGCTGTGTTAGGAATTTGCATAGATAGATGGCTTTAATGCATAGATAGATGGCTTTGAGTGCTTAGATCTTGTAAGATCCATTGATTATTGGATCTTACAAGATCTAGATATTATCCAAGACATTATCCAATAAAGCTGAGCTTTTTATAAGTTAATGTCTTTGTGTAGAAACTGATTAGATTGAGAATTATTTAAGTAAATCAAATTTACATTGAACTTGCAGCAAAGTTGGCTGTGCAAGGCCTAATTTTTGTTCTCTGAATGAGTCTCCTGTTCTCTAAATTTCCATCCAACTTTTTATTCTAAAGCAATTTACAAAGGAATCCTTTCTTTTCATCGCTTTCATCTCTACGTTTTTGCAACAAGCGTAAAACCCGAATCTTGGGAAGAACTCTCGTGAGTCACCAACCAATATATGGCCTCCTCCCAAAAAAGGTCGGCATTCTCCTTTGAATTTCGAACGGAAGCTCGAAAACGCGCAAATTTTTATGGGCACTTTGTGAGTTTTCGGTGGGGCTTGATGCGGAGCTTATCACTTCGCAAGATGAGGCAGAAATGAGACGTTTAAAGCGGTAACATGAAAGGATTTCCTACGGGAATTGCTTTCTCCCTCCCTCCCACCCGCTATCACAGACACGCCGCTTCTCACCTACTGGATAAACATTTAGATTGAATATTTGGCTTTCTGACAAATTCTTTGTAATTGCTTAATTCTGCAAAAGCTCATTCTGTTAACGTAATCTGATAATGGTCAAAAACACTTCTTTACTGAAGTAAAGCTCCACCTTACTTTTTCAGTTTTTAAACGTTCATTTCTATATTTTAAACACTCATTTCTATATTTTATATTTCTATATTCTACTATTTTTCAAATAATATAGTATTTTATAAAATTTTAACCATCGATCAATGCTAATTCCTCATCAACACCTTTTTTGACCAATATTTTGCTACACTTCGTCCATCAACGATGACCCAGATCACTTAAGCCTAATCTTTTGCCCAGATAGATAGATTTTCTTTTTCCTTTTTTGCCAAATTCTTAGTCTTGAGTTCCAGGGCTGATTGGTGGGGGTACGGTAGCCACACCCCCTTTTCGGTGGCGTCCGTGCAGAAGGCGGGCTGGAAGGGGAGGGAAAGAAGGTGCCGAGACTACCAGACTCAAAGACGATTCCCACATTCAGCACTTCCATCTACTATCAATTTCTTTTCTTAGGTTCATTGAGTCCATGTAATGTTTGATCATTAGCAACAATTCATTAGTTGGCTTGAACTACAACAATCCTAGAAAAATTTAAGGATATCGTAATACCTGTAATAGTAGCGCCCCCCCCCCCCCCGTATAGTCGCGTAGTCGCAAAAATTTTTTACTAATTCATTTTTTTCTAAGCGCCTATTATTTCAAAAAATGTGTCTTTGGTATCAAAAAATAGCCCTGAATTTCAGCTTTCATTTGATACTTAAACGAACACTGTAGCATAAACAAGTGGCGAGAAAAATGCGTTTAAAGTTAGACTACGCGACGCTCCGACCGTCATTATAGGGAGGCGCTACTATTACAGGTATACGATAAGTTATTTTTCTAATAATTCTTTTATATTGTTAAGTTGAGATCTTTTAGGTATTTCTAGTTCTTTTTTTAGTGGTATCCTATTACTTTCGATAATTTACTATTTGATTTTGATCGTATTTTCTCTCAAACTTTACTGCTATCTTACAATTTTGCAATTCTCTTTGTCTTTCTGGCTTGATTTTAGTTTTGTGGTCTAATTTATTCATATTTTTAGCATGTTCCCTTCATCGATGCTCTTTCGAACACCGAATATGGCCGGCCCATCATCGATCTTCCCACAAGTGCCAAGCGGGGATCAATTCCTGAATTTCGTCTACCAGCAAAGTCTCCTCAACTACATGACAACACTTCAGGTGGATTATTTAAAGAGTTTATGCTAATTGAATGGTTAAAGTATCAAGATCCTTATAATTGTAAGTAACTTTGCAATATCAATGTCTCAATGACTGAAGGTTTACTAAACTGATATTTTGCAAGTCATTCAAACTCTGATTTAGCCAAATTCTAAGTTTTAACCAATTTAGATTTAGGGTACACCAAATTGAAACAATACAGTAACACTATCAAAACCAGCTCCATACCTAAAACAAAGCACATCACTCCCTTACTTATCGTTTATTCAATCATTCCCATTCACCATTTTTCTCGTCGTCAAGATTGGCCGATCGATGCTTGATTCATTCGGCAAATAGTGACACCTTTTTGAAAGCAGACCATAAAGGACAAATCTATCACCCACAACCACCAAACAATTGATAAGCTTCCAATCTTTTTAGCAGCATACGAACATCATTTAAAATTGGTTGAAGGTGATGAATGAATTGCGAATAAAATGGTTTAGTAACTCATTTATAATCAAATGAATTGATAGTTTGTAATTCTGGCCATCCTAATCTTGCTGTGCGGACAGAACTTTCCTATTTTGACTTAAAAATTTTGATGTTAGCTGTGGTAGCATGAGGATTTTTTCTCATCTCCAACACACTACTCAGCAGCACACCCTTACCAAGTCCAGCCAATTTAAACCTCAGAAATTAGTAGCCAAATCAAATTCATTATTGGTAGATGTAATGATAAATAAAAAAATTCATAATTTCTTCAATTAATTTGCTGGGTTTAGGGTGGGGAAGTGGCAGCCAGCAGCCTGATAAATATCCATAAAATTTTCTGGAAAACCCGGGAAAAGTTCATATCATAAGGCGTGAAAATTGGCACCTGATTGCCTGAAATGGAAAGAAACTTCATTGGGTAAACAAAATGTATTCTAGACCGAGAGACGCTTTTCTTCAGCTGAAGGTGATAGGATTGTGCTTAGTGATTTGTAAATTTTCACAAATAAAAACAGAATAGTTTAGTATCTAGACCAAGAATTAGATTAGCCAGACATCTTGAAACTTTGCTAAAAATTTGTCGTTAAATTTTAAACAAAATTTTTGCTTTTAGAGGCTACAACAAGTCAATCCACCAAAGCCAGTCAAACCGGAGCCTAAAAAGGAAAGCGATGAGCCGCCAGAGAAACGAATGAAGGTAAAATTTTGCACGATTACAGCTCTAATAACAAAAGTTTTAGTTTGATTTCACTAAACTGGCCACATCAATCGAAAAAGAGGAGAAAGCAAAAGCTGACTCTCCACCGATGCCAATTGGGCCTTCACTTTTCCCTCAAGCTCATATCTCTCTTCCTGGAGCTTCGTATCCTCGACCATGGTTTGTAATAAAATGTTTAATAATTAAATTAATAATTAAATAATTGTTTATTAGCTTTGTTTTAAACATATTTATCATTTAAATAACAATTAGAATCGAAAGCATAACGGTTTTGAAAGAATAACCAAAGCATCAGAACTTTTCTACACTTTAGAAAAGTTGAATTTGAATTTAGAACTTTAAAAACATGTTTTAGTTTAAGATTACTATTCAAATAATTTGTTTGTTAAGAAATTTTGTAAATTTTTATTGAGAAAGCTTTTAGGTTTATGCTACCGGGAAAACGAACCGGTGGTCGAGCCACTCGCCCCAAGAAAGAGTTCATCTGCAAATTCTGTAGACGGTAACTTTTATATTACTATTAAGCAGCTATTAGCTTTTACAAGTCTGATTTCAAAATTTACAGACAATTCACGAAATCCTACAACTTGCTCATTCATGAGAGAACGCACACTGACGAGCGGCCCTACCCATGCGAGCAGTGTGGAAAGGCTTTTCGACGACAAGATCATCTACGTGATCATCGGTAGAATTTTAAAAACAATTATTCATTTTATATTTTGTAACTATAAAAATTCATTTCAGATTCATTCACTCAAAGGATAAACCCTTCAAGTGTGACATTTGCGGAAAGGGTTTCTGCCAGTCGAGAACCCTCGCGCAGCATCGATTCGGGCACTCGTCGTGCGCTGGTAAAGAGGTAGAGATTGTTGAAATTTAAAAATTCGTATTTAAAACGAATAATCCAGCTTAAATGACATCTCTAAAGCAATGAAAATCGAAAATAATTTACCTAATACTTGCCTATAAAACAAGCCTAACCCATAAACTTTTTCACAATGATAAATTTGGAGTCATAGTAGTAAGGATTTAGCAACGTCACCTGTCATTTTTAAAGATGGCTTTAAGCTTTAAGATGTTTTATTGAGATAAGATTATTTAAGATGTTAGAATCTACTATATATAAAAAGTAGTGTCGGTCTGTCTGTACGGGTATTTTCTCAACCGTTTTTGGGTCAATAAAGCTAAATCTTCTTTAGAAAATCTTAGAATATATATTATAGTTGTGTCATTAAAAAAAATTTTTAAAATTAAAGTCGGGCGAAACACCCGGGAATCGAATCCGGACTGTGTGAGCCGTAGACAAGGCCGTAGACAAGCGCGCTCTCGACTGCGCCACGGTGACGAGAGCAGACCTCTCCAAAACAACTTGCTGTTAGGCGGGTTTTTCTGGTAGTTGATAAACGGACATTGAAAACTGAAATCTCGAATTCAGGCAAGCCCACTCGCTCCAACGAGTACCCCATCCAGAACTCCATCTCCAGCTCTTCTCCACTCTCCCGAATCAACCTCTCCCGAGTCAATCCATATCAAAAACGAGATCAAAAATGACGATGATGAGGACACGGTTGATGTTGAATAGATCATGATTTGATAGATCTTTGATTGTTTTATGGAATTGGAATTGTTCCTGTTTCTCTAACGGGGGAACCACACACTTACTGATCTATTACTTGCAACTTTTCGATTTTTGGTTTATTTTGCATTTCTCTTAAAAGGTCAGTGACCTGTACTAGTAACTCTGTTCACTAGTCTACTCAATTTGCATTTCATTTCACTTTGTGCATTTCCCTGAATAGCTTTTACACTTTGCTTTAATCTTCTTGTGATCTTTGGTGATGGCTTTACTTGAAATTAATGACAGTATTACTTTTGATAAGACTTTGATCTTGAATTTCTGCTTTAAACTTTACATTTTTCTTCTGGCAATGATCGAAATCGATTCTTACCGGTTCGGTGTGGCCATATTTTTCTTGCATTTTCATTTTCATTTGATTGCTCTCACGAATTTATGTGTCATTGCAGTATTAACCGTTTCGTTTGCATAAATTTGAAAATTCAATTGTTAGCCATGAAAATTGGAGGAAAGATTGAAACTCATGAAGACAAATCACATTTAATTTTATTGAATCGATAGAGATTAAAACAAAACAACTTGTACAATAGATTACAGTAAATTAGCAAGAATTTTAGCAATCGTTTTTGAAGACATTTGTTTCAATCACTAATCAGAAGCGAATTTTTATTCGATAAAAGCAATTTCGGTACTTTTGCCTCTTACGCCTATCAATTACTCGCCTACCAACTACCAAACGCCTCTTACGCATAGTAAAATTTGCATACGAACGATTTTATGCAAAAGAATCGTTTTATGCAAAAGAACATTTCTTATTTTTACTTTTTAGTTTACTTTTTACTTTTTAGTTTTTTTTATTCGTTTCAAATCATTTTCAATGTCATCCTTTCTAGTTTCAATAAGCTTTTGAGTTTAGTCTTTTATTTGAGGCGTTGTTTTAAATGCAAAACGAGCGACTCTTTATGCTATTGTAAATATGCAAATGTAATATGCAAATGTTAGCGTCTTTGTATGCTAATGATAAGCAGGTATGAAAATGAATAGTCAAATAGTCAAATTAGTCAAGTTTCTTAATAAAATGCATGACAAATGCCTGTTTTCACAAAAAAACAAAACAAATTTGTACTATTTCTTACAGTAAGCTTTCAAAGTTTTGAGTTTTAAGAAGAAAAACTGACTTACTGAAGTTAGCTAAAGCTGTTAGAACAAAAATAGAAAAGATTTTCTTCTGCAAAATCATTTTTATCCGGTTCATTTAGAACACTCACAATGACTGAGCTTTTGATCTGTGCAAAGCTGTGCAAAGCGGAGTCAACAAGTACCGCAGTTTCTTAATACAATGCATGACAAATGTGCAAAGCTGTGTTGAATCTTTTGCTATCATGTAAATCTATTCCTTAAAGATCTCATCTTTCAACCATTGAAAATATTTTCAATTTCTTTCTTTCGGGTAAAGCGGTCAACGACAATTTGCCTCTCTCAAAAAATGATTATCGCGATTTTTGCGGAGAACAAAGAATGAGTTGAAATTGAGTTAAAGGAAGAAAAAAATAAAGCAGAAGCTTGAAACCCGTTTTTTTTTGGTGTGGGAGAGAGGTGAGTTCACTAGGAGAAGGAGAGAGAAGAGAGAAGAGCTCTTCTTCTCAAACTCTTCTTCTTTTTATTCCTTTATTCATTTTCTTATTCTCTTTAGTACTTCTTCATTCTCCTTACCGATCTCTGTAATTATGTGTGAAAAGGGAAAAATGAGAAAAATCTTTTTTTTAAAGAAAAAGAAGAACGATCAACATTTCGTGTCTGCCGTAAGGTTCATTCGGTCATTCTTTTTTAGCTTTTAAGCGTCTAGATTTTCTTTTAAGCGGCTAGATTTCAGAAAATACAGATTAACATGGTTTTTTCCTGAAAATTGCTAACAATTAGCTGTTGTCTTAAATGAAGAGAACGATCATTTAAGAAATAGCGGCTAGATTTCAGAAAATTTCCCAAAGTATGTCTTAAATGATGGTTCTCTTCATTTAAGATATACTTTGAGTTCAAAAATATCCTTTCTAGCACACTCAGTTTCAGATTAAAGCTGAAAAAACGATAAGCGAGTATGCCAGAATGGATTTGGTTCTGTTTTTTTCAAAGTACAGTTTAAAAACAAGTCGATCAACAGGAATGGAAGAGCCTGTTAGGCAAAAATGAGTCCGAGTCCAGCTAAAGCCAGCCTGACTTCAAAAAAATGGCTTTAGAACAATACTTTGGCTTTAGAACAATACTTTAAACTTTAAACAATACTTTAAACAATACTTTAAACAATCCTTTAAACAATACTTTAAACAATACTTTAAACAATACTTTAAACAATAGTTTAAACAATACCAAATACCAAAAATCGAATCAAACTTTTATTCCCGGTTTCTACTAAAGAAAATGAGTCATTTCTAATAGTAAAGTTCTTTCATTTACAATTCTTTTTTTGGTAAATTGTTCATCAAAAGTTCTTGCGAACAAAAACAATCAAAAGCCCAAGTCAAAAACATTTTAATCATCAAATTAATTCAATTCTTTTTCTTTCTTTTGTTCATTTTCTCCCCGTTTTTCTCCTCAATTTCATTGCAAAAAAACCGGGTTTTTCTATTGCTTTTCAAGGTTGAAATGACCCTTTTTTTGTGAGTTCATTTCTTTCAACTCATTTTATAATAGCTGCATTTGATCATCAATTGTAAAGAAAATGCTATGAATTCACAATATTTAGCTAACTAAATATCTAAAGTGAAATTTATTTGAATCCATTTAATTGAAGAATTTTGAAAGGAATTTTCAAATAAGAACTGCCAGAATTTGGAATCGACTCCCCAGAGTTTTGAGAGAGTCGAATAGTCTCCAAACTTTTCGGTTATCTGTAGATGATCTTGATCTTTAAGCTCTAGTGGATCCTTGACGTTATCTTTGCTACCCATACATTACATCTATTATATCGTGTTACCTTTTATCGGCCCTTTTCGTGTTATTTGTATGAATTCATGTGTATTAATCTTAAATCTAGCGCACTTTATCTCAGATCCTGAATAAGGTATCTAGATATACATGTTGTGTCCGATTTAGATTTCCGTCGGATTTGGATTCAATCTAAATCGGTCGTCCGATTTAGATTGAACTTATCGCGGACGTCCGATTTAGATTACAGTCTATATCGGACGTCCGGTTTAGATTCAATCTAAATCTTATATAGATTGAACAATAATACAAATAATATATATAATAGCTGCATTTGATCATCAATTGTAAAGAAAATCCTATGAATTCACAATATTTAGCTAACTAAATATCTAAAGTGAAATTTATTTGAATCCATTTCATTAAAGAATTTTGAAAGGAATTTTCAAATCAGTCAAGCATTCAAATTTCAACTTTCCGGACTTCACTTTATGATCTTTCTGTTTTTAAAGTGATGAATACTTATAGTAAATTGAATACATACTTTTAGGAATCTAAAATATTATGCATATTCACTGTTGTCATACGAATCAAATCATTTCACTGTACTGAGACAATTGCTATTGCTCTATCGCGCATCGAATTGAGCGATAGAGCAATAGCAATGTCTCTACAATCAAATAAATCTAGTTAAACTAGTAAAACACAAATCAGCCAAGCATTCAAATTTCAAATTTCAAATTTCCGGACTTCACTTTATGATCTTTCTGTTTTTAAAGTGATGAATAGTAAATTGATGAATAGTAAATTGAATACATACTTTTAGGAATCTAAAATATTATGCATATTCACCGTTGTCACACGAATCGAATCATTTAACTGTACTGAGACAATAGAATTGAGCAATAGAGCAATAGCAATGTCTCTACAATCAAATGAATTTAGTTAAACTATTAAAACACAAAGCAGTCAAGCATTCAAATTTCAAATTTCAAATTTCAAATTCCCAGTCTTCACTTTATGATCTTTTTACTATCATTTCATTCCATGCTTTTGCTGAAACTCGATCCAAAAACAAAAAAAAGTAAACCAAAAGCATCGTCCGTTTAAAATATGTGCTAAGTATTTGATGATATCAGCTAGCTTTGAAACAAAAACACAAAACATTTAGTTCTTATATTAGATTTTCTCATCTACAAGCCTAAATTGAGCTTCTAATAAGTCTTCTAATAAGTCCAATTCCATCAACTTTCTCCAAGAAACTTTTTGCGATGATTGATCTCAAAGATTGTTGGTTCCTGCATTTTTCTTCTAAATTTTTCCCATCTTTGGGAGCCGTTCGGATCAGATTTCTTCTTCTCCATTTAAGCTTTTTTCAGACAAGGTTGGACCACTGAAGGAGAAGATTTCTGGAAAGATTGAGCTCTTCAATTCTCTTTTGCATGTTCAAAATGATTGATGATCTCATTTTTTTTGTTGTTTGATGATTTTATTTATTGAATAATTTGGATTCAGTAAAGTTTTTGATTGTGGATCCACAGTTCACAGTCCACAGTCCACAGTCCACTAGTCCACTAGTCCACTAGCCCACTAGTTCACTAGCCCATAGTCCACAGTCCACTAGTCCACTAGTCCACTAGTCCACTAGTCCACTAATCCACTAGTCCACTAGTCCACAGTCCACAATAGAACCCTTAAAGCTTTTTATTCTTCTATACAAGTTTTATACTTTTAATTGACTCTACCATTCTTGTATGCTTTAGATTAAAAGCTGGAAAGTTAACAGATCAAATTTTTGAAGCTAGTAAACTCACGGACTTAAGGCAGACTTCAAGTTCCAGTTTCAAAGCTCATCTCAAGTCTTTCATCTACTTTAATTGCTAAATTCTCTCATTTTCAATTCAATTTTCATTAATTTTTCAATAAATAGTCAAAGATCAAATGTTTGTAAACTTGAAAAGGGAAAACATCGAGTGGCCTCTCACTAATCCCCACTCTTTCTTGCATTGGTCATCGTCTCTAGTGTCCTTTTTTCTTTGCATTAGTAAGCAATCTTCAAATCGTTATTTACATTGTATATTTCTGGATTTATTCAATATTCAATATCAAATTCAGTCTAGAAAATGATGTGGAGAAGAGTGTTCCCTTTCCTTTGCTTGATCGCCTTCACCATTGCTGCCAGCAGAATGTTAGTTAAGAGCTCAAAAAATAGATACGATCTATAGCTTATCTATAAAGAGATTCTTCTTTAGAAAACGAGAAGAGCCAATTGCTGAAGGAAGCGGTGAACCGATGGCTGAGGGAAGTGGAGCCATCGGAGCCATTGAGGGAGTGAGTTTAAGAAGGAAAATTTTCTATAAAAAATTTAGCAATCACCAGCTGAAGAAACACAAGACTCTGTAAAGGTAAGTAAAATGAATTTCTTTTAAATTAAATTAAATAAAATACAGGAAAAAAGTAATGCTGATGAGGACACACTCACCGGCACCGAGGCTACAAATGTGAGATTTAATTTTAAGGAAACTTTTTAGACTTTAAGAACAAGTAATAGTTGGATAACTTGTATAACTCTAACAACTAAGTATATAAATGATTACTTGTGAGTTTTACCCCCTACAAATAAGGCTATAAATGTGAGAGTAAACGTTAAGAATACTTTTTAGACTTTAAGAACTAGTAATAGTTGAATAACTTGTATAACTTTAACAAATAATTAGATAAATGGGTGCTTGGTTGGTGGTTAACCACTACAAATGAGGTTACAAATGTAAGAGTAAACGTTAAGAGTACTTTTTAGACTTTAAGAACTATTAATAGTTGGATAACTTGTATAACTCTAACAACTAAGTATATAAATGGCTACTTATTACCCATCGCACACAAAGGCTAAAACGATGCCTTTTTTTAGTTTAGCTTAGCCTTTATCTACTAGAATTTAATTTAGAATTAGAATTTAAATATAGTTTGCTCATAAAATAAATCTACTTGCACTAAAGTTGATATATTTTTAAGATAGAAAAATATACATACCGTAAATACTGTAATAGTACCCCACTCCCATAATGACGATGCGAAGCGTTGCGTAGTCTAACTTTGAACGCATTTTTCTCGACACTGGTTTATGCTACAATGCTCGCTTAGGTATCAAAAAATAGCTGAAATTCAGGGCTATTTTTTGATACCAAAGATAATGACGGTGCGGAGTATTGCGTAGTCTAGCTTTGCACGAGTGTTTCTCGACACTGGTTTATGCTACAATGCTCGCTTAGGTATCAAAAGATAGCCCTGAATTTCAGCTATTTTTTGATACCAAAGACGCATTTTTTGAAAGTACGGGCGCTTTGAAAAAAATGAAATACTAAAAAACTTTTGCGACTACGCGACTGTACGAGGGGAGTATTATTACAGTATTTACGGTAAGTGCCGATTAAATGATATGGATTTTACTTTTAAATTCGAAGAAATAGTAATAGATGAGTAAACCTAAACTAGATTAGACTTTGAATTAACTTTGACTTTGACTTTTATTAGTAAAAGTTAAATCTAGGCTGAACACAGTGATGCCAAACGAGAAGATGCTTCACAATCGGTAAGACAATATTATATCAGTAAAAATTTCAAATTTGAAACTTTTTCTATTCTTTCATCTAATCAAATGTGTTAAAAGCAAGATTTATTGTTTAAAAGCAGACGTTGAAGTGCTTAAAACGTTTCATAGATTTCAAGAGTTGCTGGAAACTTAAAGATGACAAATAAGGGGACTATGACAATACCACACCGTCATTTGCGCACATGTGGATAAACGTCTTTTACGCACAATAGCATCCACTAATTTCAAGCGTTACTGTAAAAATTTCAGCTTGATAGCTTCACTATAAAAAATTTTAGAGAAATTTTAATTTTTTGTTGCACCAAATAGCCTACATTGTTTCGATTGAGCTCAAATTTTTACAAAATGTTGCACTCGTCTATACCGATCTATTATAAAAATTTAAGTTTGATAGCTTCACTCCAAAATGGGAAAGTCATTGTGCGCAAATGAAATCTTTTTTTTGCGTCTTTTGTGCACAAAAAAGTTAAGTTTCTCTAAACCAGCCTACATTGTTTCGATTGAGCTCAAATATTTACAAAATGTTGCACTCGTCTGTACCAATCTACTGTAAAAATTTCAGCTTAATAGCTTCACTAGAAAAAATTTTAGAGAAACTTAACTTTTTTATGCACAAAAGACGCAAAAAAAAAGATTTCATTTGCGCACAATCGCTTTCCCATTTTGTAGTGAAGCTATTAAGCTGAAATTTTTACAGTAAATGGGTATAGACAAGTGCAAAATATTGTAAAAATTAGAGCTTAATCGAAGCAATTTGGGCTATTTGGTGAAACTTTTAGTGCTTGAAGTTAGTGGGCGTAAAAGACGTTTTTCCACGTGGGCGCAAATGATATTAAGCGATTGGTAAATAAGCGATTTGTTACAGTAAACGAAGTATACAATCAATTGTAAAGATATTCAAGAAAGGAGAATACACCAATCAATTGTAACTATCAACAAGCTCGCTTCAAATACCCCAAACTTTCAGCAATTCTCATCAGCAGCTCAACAAGGTGTCAACTCAGCTCAGTCACTCTTCGCCTATTCATTCATCTCCATTATCATTGCTATTTTCATTTTCTGAATCTAGTTTTACTAAGTAGTACAAATTTTGCCATAATTTCTATGACATTTTATTTTTTAATGGGTATTTTGATAGCATTTAGCTCACCCTATCACTAGAATTCTTTAGTCTTTATTTGGGTTGGATTTTTAAGAGTTTGTTAATAAATTCTTGTAAAAACAATAAAAATGTTGCAAATATTGATGTCTATTGACTTATTCTATAAGTTGAATGGAGAGTTTAACTTTAAAATGACAAGTAAAGTTGGTTATGAAGTATACAATCAATTGTAAAGATATTCAAGAAAGGAGAATACACCAAAATTGTAACTATCAACAAGCTCGCTTCAAATACCCTAAACTTTCAGCAATTCTCATCAGCAGCTCAACAAGGCGTCAACTCACCCCATCACTAGAATTCTTTGCGCTTTTCGAGATTTCGAGGAATTTAGGCGACGCTCATGGTGCACTACTATTAGAGAAAATACGGTAAAAGGAAATTCCGATGTGTTTTTGGTCGTAAAAATCTTTACAAAGAAATTGACTGAATGAATTTCCCTGAAAATTAACCTCTACACCGAACTTTTTATGCTCTATCTTTTACCTATTGACATAAAGATAGGTTTCTTTAGCTAAAACTTTCGAAACCGGATCATTGAACCGCATTTTTGAACTACCCGACTTGATGCTAGCAAAAAAATCTAGACATAAAACATTTCTAAATGCGTTTTAATATTATTTTGCAAAAAAAGAAAATGATAGTCTTTCTAATAAAATAAATTGTAATTGAATTGGTTATTGATTTTAAATGAAATGAATGAATGAAATGAAATGAATGAATGAAATGAAAAGACTTTCTGAACAGTTTAATAATTCTGAATAGTTTAAAACATTCGTAGCTTAGATCTTAGATCTTTTATCTTTCCATCATTCCATTTTCCAGTTTCCAGTTTCCAGTAAAGCTTTTCTCTACTCAGAGTTTATAAAAAGTAAACTTGATTGCCTGAGCTCTTTCTCTAGCTTTCAAAAGAGTGAAAAAGAGGGGAAAAGGACCTCTCATAATTCGAGGTGTTCCATTGAGAGAACAAGTGAAAAGAGAGTGCCGGGACACTCCCTTTTCCCTCACCAAGTCCCATCCAACATCAAGCCTTTTTTCCTGTTGTTGAAAGCTCTTTCCCTTCACAAAAACCAAGGCTCATCAATATCCGGCCACCTGTCTCCATATTTTTCCTTCTCTTTCGAAAAGCAAAGGATTTTGTGACAAGTTTTAAACTAGTAGGAGTCTTTAAAGTATTTAATCTTTTCTTTATTGTTTATCTGTTTATTATTTGAATCTAGTTTTCTTTCTAGCTTTCAACAACAGGAAAAAGGCTTGATGTTGGACTTCTAGATCTTTCTTGGGACTTCTAGGACTTGGGACTTCTGGATCTTTCTAGATCTCTTTACTACTATTATTTGAATCTAGTTTATCTTTTCTATAAACTCACCAAACCAATTTAATTCTTTTCTTCAATATTTTCAACACTTTAAACCAATAGAACTTTTTTTTTGAATAAATCTTTGAAAATTTCTTTAGTCTTTTAGCTTTTTTAGCCATAAAAGCTATCTTTTAGCTTTCTTTAGATTAGCTGGTCACGTTAATTTTCGTGTCCTGTTTGCGGTTTCATGTCACTCTCGAGAAGAAAGGACAGCCACTCTCTAGAGAAATCAAAAAGAACAAGGACTCTCTTAAACCCTATATGCAAATATGCAAACCAAGCCCGTCACACCCTCTTTTGTTTGAACGCTGAAGAAACCTGAAGAACCGAGAGATCGAGAGATCCTGAAGATTCTGAAAGGATCTAAGAAACACTCCTTGACTCATTCCTGTAACTCATTCATTTTGAAACCTGAAGAACCGAGAGATTCTGAAGATTCTGAAAGGATCTAAGGAACACTCCATGACTCATTCCTGTAACTCATTCATTTTGAAGCCTGAAGAACCGAGATCCTAAAGATTCTGAAAGGATCTAAGGAACACTCCTTAACTCATTCCCTGTAACAAAATCTTTTCTAAAGATCTTTTCTATAGTTTTGAACTTCACAAAACTTTCAAATCAAGTGTTAATCTTGTTTGACTCATTGCTAAACACTCAACTGACTCAGCTTAAACTTCTACTAACAATTAGCTACTCGTTTTGCTCATTCACAAACTGACAAACAGATCATGGAAAAAGTACAATTGCTAGGGCTATTCCTTACCAGATTCTTCTCCCAATTTAACAAAAAGTTCCCGGTTTTGTTGACTGTTTACCAATTTGTTTAACTCTTTAACAATTACCCAAATAATCCGACAATATCGCTGACCATACGGTCAAATTTGCATTTCATGTCTCTTGAGATCTTTTCTCTGAGTGTCACCCCAAAATGGTTGTTGAATGAACCATGAAAGGAGTCCTAATGCGAGTCCTTGTTGTCCATTATTGGGTTGAAAAGTCTTTCAACGGCCATCACATTCTCTATTCTCTTCAATCCTTTCTTACCGGGTATTAAAGTCCTTGAGTCTCCGACTTGAACCTGACACTTTATTTTCCCGTAATTCACAGATTTATACACAAGAATTCAAAAAACTTTAGATGTTGTCTATATCTATAAACAAATTTTCTTTATAAAACGAAAAGAGCCAATTACTAAAGGAATCGGCCATCCCATTCTATATTCTCTTCAATCCTTTCTTATTATATTAAAGTCCTTGATTCTCCGACTTGAACCTGACACTTTATTTTTCACATTTATACCCAAAGGGTGAATGAATATAGTCATTTTTCAAGTTATCCATTCGTTAAACGTCTCCTTACAAGTTTACTTGCACTTTTCTTATTATTTTCTTATTTCTTTTCTTATTTCTTATTTCTTTTCTTATTTCTTCTTCAGTTACGAAACATTGTTAATCCATAAAAAAACCTCTCTTTTCGGATTTGAATGAAGCAAGCTCTTTGCGCATCTCGAATTCACACGCGCATTTTTCTCTCGCATAATTTTCGGGCACTCGTAAACGAAAAACGGAAAGAAGAATGAGAATCCTCTTCCAAAATACAACTGAGAATCCTCTTCTAAAATACAACTGAGAATGCTCTTCCAACTCAGAATCCTCTTCCAAAATACAACTGAGAATCCTCTTCCTCTTCCAACTCTTCCCCTTCCAACCTCTTCCAAAACACAATCTCTCATATCTGAAAAAGTGAATTCATTCTTTGGCTCAAGCAAAGCTCAAAAGATTTATTTTTCTTCTAAAGTTTCTAAAGTTATTGTTTTTTTTAATTCTTTTTCGTTATAAATCCGTAAAAAAATCAATTGGGTTCTTTAATTTTTTGGCTTTTTTATCAGATATTTCACTCAAAGATCCCTTATGTAATTGTTGAAGTGGTGTTGTGTCGGGCATTCTGATTGATTGATAGCTTTATGATGATGATTATGATGGTTAGCGCATTTGCGAGTAAGCAAAATGCAGCGTTGTTCAATTGGGTTCTTTAATTTTTTGGCTTTTTTTACCAGATATTTCACTCAAAGATCCCTCAGGTAGTTGTTGAAGTCGGTGTTGTGTCGGGGATTCTGATTGATTGATAGCTATATAACGTGATGGTTGGCCCATTTGCCCATTTGCCAATTTGCCCATTTGCCAATTTGCCCATTTGCCCATTTGCCAGTAAGCAAAATGCAGCATTGTTGAAAGAAGGGAGAGTTGATCGGCGTCGGTAGTCGGTAAGCGAAACATGAATCCACGCTGTGAGAAAATAGCAAAAGAATGGATTTTCCTTGCTCATTTTCATGAAAGAATGCAAATTTTTGGGATTTATAAAGAAAAAGAGGCGTTTATCTTTGCCAATTCCAATTCATTAACCTTTATCATTCGCATTCGCATTCCATTCTCTATCCTTCTCTCATATCCATCGTCATATCATTTTGTGGTCTTCTTCTCGATTTCCCCTTCCACTCGATAATCAATCTTCTCAATCTTTCCTCCTTTTCTTCTTCTTCTTTATCCCATTTCTTCCGATTGTCTTTGAACCGCTTTTTCCACTCAATCCTAGCCATGATAATACTAGATTTTCTGCATGACAAACCCCCAATTTTTCTCTTGCTCTTGTGCAAAACTGGATTAACATTTTCCTAATGATCGAATTTCTAACTTATTTACTAGCTCATGTTTAATGTTTTTTTTTGAAAAACATTGAATAAAATCAGATAAAATCAAACTTGACATTCAAAATCCTAGATTTTCAATAGAATTCGACTATTTTATAGATAAAAAAACCTTATTAAGAAAACAATAGTAACCAAAAAGTACAAAAAGAGTAAGTACAAACAACTTAAGTTGCAAAGTTTTATCTTTTTTCAGTTTTATCTCATTTCTATTTTCAATCTATTTTATTTTTCGCTATCTTTTTAGCTATAATGAGATTCACATTTAATTCAATAGGTTTACTTTATTCTTTTTGAGAATTTTGGTGGGTAAAGGTGAGAGAAAATTGAAAGGTAATCAAAACTTTTCGAGTTTAGACTGCACTACTATTAGACTACTAATATTATAGACCATATTTTCTGTAATAGTAGTGCAGGCTGGAGTGGGGTTGAAAAAATAGTAATGCGCACTACTATTACAGAAAATACAGTAATCTATTGAAAATCTATTGAAAATCTATTGAAATCTATTAAAATCTATTAAAACCTATTAAAAATCTATTGAAATCTATTGGAATCTATTGAAATCTATTAAAAATCTATTGGAAATCTATTGAAATCTATTAAAATCTATTGAAAATGAAGATTGGCTAGGTTTTCTTGAAATTTAGTCTATTTAATGGATTAGTACTTTAAAAACGGGTCGTCACGCTTTAAAAGCCTATAACTTTATCCAGAGATAATATTATAATTAACTTTTTATATCATTGTACAGAGGACATTTCAGGCTTTCAAATGATACCAAACAGAGCTTGATTGGAAAAAGTCAGTACAAGAAAATCAGAGCCAACTCTGAGCAAATAAGTCTATCCAAATCTATTAAAAATCTATTGAAATCTATTAAAATCTATTAAAAATCTATTAAAAATCTATTGAAAAACGAAATCTTACTGATTCACAAATTAAATCTGATACATTTGCAATCAAAAACTTTCATGAATCTTTCGAAAATCCCTATTTAGTTTTTTTTCGAGAAGAAAATTTCCCTGAAAGCAGCGCAGATTCTCAAGAGTCCAATGGGGATATCAGTTTCCTTTGGGCGATTCTGGAAAAGGAATAGAAGCTTAAAAAAAAGAAATCCAAAAGATCCAAAAGATCTAAAAGATCTAAAAGAGAGAAAAGAGAGAAAAACGATACTCTCATTCACATCTCATTCCAGCCTCTCCATTTCTCATTTTCTGCTCTCAAATTTGTGCAGATTTCTCTCTTCTTTCTTTTCCAATTCACTAAATCCCTGGGTTTACAATCCCTGGGTTTACAATGAATTCGGGGAAAGCTTTGATAATCTCTTGACTAGTTTTGGCTTGCCAATTACACAAAAAAACGATAAACGAAACGATTCAAATAAAAAAAAATGAAAACAATCATAGTTACTTGACGATATGAAAGATTCGAGTCAAAAAATTGTTACCAATTTTACATAGAAACGATTTTAACCATAGCAAAATATGAAAGCAACAATAGTTACTAAAGATTTGATTTTAAAATTGTTCAAATTGGTTTTACCGTATTTTCTGTAATAGTAGTGCAGTCTTTAATAGTAGTACAGTCTGTAATAGTAGTACAGTCTGTTAGTAGTGCAGGCTGGGGGTTGAAAGAATAGTAGTGCGCACTACTATTACAGAAAATACGGTTATCTATTAAAATCTATTGAAATCTATTAAAAATCTATTGAAAAACGAAATCTTTCTTTATCTAACCAACATTGTTTCAAAGTTTTAGATTTTCTTGTACTGACTTTTTCCAATCAAGCTCTATTTGGTATCATTTGAAAGCCTGAAATGTCCTCTGTACAATGATATAAAAAGTTAACAAAAATATGATCTCTGGACAAAGTTATAGGCTTTTAAAGCGTGACGATCCGTTGAAAATCCTTGAAAACTTTGCAAGTGTACATTTTTCTATTCTCTTTCATCATTTTCCCAGTCGACGATTGTAAATTCATTTATTATTCGATCTTTTCCTTTTCCTTAATGTTTTTTCATTTAATTCATCGAATAGATTATGTATTGTTTAACGAAAATCACGAGGAGATTAAGTCAAATTTCGTTGGGAAAGCAATTCGCAAAGAATGGCTTCATTTAACTCAATTTTTATTAGCTTTTTGTTATTTTTCGGTAATTTATGCTTATAATGGAAGCTTTTGCTTATGAAAATGCTTATAATAATGCTTATAATAATGCTTATAATAATGCTTATAATAATGCTTATAATAATGCTTATAATAATGCTTATGATAATGCTTATTATAATGCTTATTATAATGCTTATGATAATGCTTATGATAATGCTTATAATGAATATTGAAGTGAGCAATTTTGTGAGCACATTGAAGTGAGCAAGTAACCCGGCGAAGACAAGTGTTTTCTGACCGTCAGGGATTGTTCGTTTTTTTTTTTTTTTGCAGTGTTCACACTGTTCCCTAATTCGTAAGGCCTTTTTTTTGTTTGTCTATAGTCTAAAAATAGTAATGAATTACTAAAATAAAGAATCAATAAAGATCATTTAGGCAGAAGTTTCAAATATATTCTCAGTTAACACCAGACAACATTTTAAAACATTTGAATTTACCAAACCAATATTTATTTGAAATCGTTGCCTATATTTCATTGCTCATCGCTTTCCAAAGTGACTAAATGCCACTGAAAATACGCGGGAAATTTTACAAGTTCATTTTTATTCTTTTAATTTTGAATAAAATAAAACTTTAAAACAAAAGAAATCGATTATTTCATAAATAAATAAATATTTAAACAATTTTAGATAATATTTACAATCTATTTAAATCGACAAAGCAATCGTCAATGGTTAAAGGTAATTGTTAAAGCTAATTGTTAAAGCTAATTGCTAAAGCTAATTGCTAAAGCTAATTGTTAAAGCCAATTGTTAAAGCTAATGGTTAAAGCTAATGGTTAAAGCTAGTTGTTAAAGCTAGTTGTTAAAGCTAGTTGTTAAAGCTAATTGCTAAAGCTAATTGCTAAAGCTAATTGTTAAAGCCAATTGTTAAAGCTAATGGTTAAAGCTAGTTGTTAAAGCTAGTTGTTAAAGCTAGTTGTTAAAGCCAATTGTTAAAGCTAATGGTTAAAGCTGATTGTTAAAGCTAGTTGTTCAAGCTAGTTGTTAAAGCTAATTGTTAATGCTAATTGTTAAAGGTAATTGTTAAAGCTAGTTGTTCAAGCTAATTTGTTAAAGCTAATTGTTAAAGCTAATTGCTAAAGCCAATTGTTAGAAGATAAACAATACAAGTCGTACTTTAAGCTCTAGCAAACGCTGGCTCTCTAGTAGATTTGATCTTATTCATCTCTTTGTTAATAAAAGAAATGTACCAGAAGGCTTATTAGAGTATAAAGTTTGAAAAGATACTAGCAAGATTTTCAGCAACACAACAAAGCTGATAGGGTTCTTTCTCTAAATTTTCCCCTTGTTTTCTCAACTCTTTTCAAGCGTTTTCTCAAGAAAATCCCCTCCTTTCGTCGGCCAATTACTCGGCGCTGAAGTGTGAAGAGTGCGGTGATTGAAGATTGAAAAGAGGGTAGGGGTAAAGGACTTTCTTTTAGCCTAGCCTTTGACCCTACACCCTCAACTCCCTTTTCCTATCAAAATTTGCATTCTTAACTACTCCACCTAATCCTAGAAGTGCTCAAAATTCTTTTCTCTGTTAATTTCCCTGTTGTTTCTGGAAATAGAATTGCTTTAGTGAACTAGTTGAAAGGTTTTAATCTTTAGAAAAGTTTAGAAAAGTTTTTGAAGATTTGTTTTAAACTAATTTTGTTTTAATTTTGTTTTTTATTACTTCAAAGCCAATTATATACTTAGTTTTTTTGGAAATTCTTCAAAATTTCAAGTTTTATTAAGCTTTTTAAGCAATTCTTTTTTTTCACAACTATTCAAATTGTTTTGTATTTTAAAAACAATTTCATTTGCTTACTATTGCAGCAAAAGGTTTCCTAAGTAAAACTGACAACTTCGAAGGAAGAAATGTTAAGAGTCTAACTAGAACTAGTAGGCTAATGTTAGGTCAAGAAGTCAAAGAGTATTCTATCTCTAGCTTCTGATGGTGAGCTACTCTAGCTGAGCTACTCTAGCTGAGCTACTCTAGCTGAGCTACTCTAGCTGAGCTACTCTAGCTGAGATGAGCTACTCTAGCTGAGCTCCAGATGTTTCCAACATTCTTGCTTTTAACTTTCAAATAAACACCTGTCCATCAAAGTCAAACAAAATTAGTTCCACTTTTCAACTTTCGACTAGAAAACTTACTAAAAAGACATTCTTTCCTTCTTTTCTTTTCACACATCGATTTGATGATACATCGACGTTCAATAGCCATCTCTCCCCCACTTTCCACAAATGTTTATTCTCTTTTTCTACTCGTGTTTTTGCCTTTTCCTCTTTTCTGCCACTAAATGAATGAAATCATCGATCAGAGCTTCTCTTTTCAAAATTTGAGAGATATTTTTAACTCTCTTGCTTGCAGAGTGCTTATGATAAAACTTTTCAATTTAGAAATCAGCTTAGCTTTTCTGTGACACCTTGTAAGAAGGAGTTGTTCATCTTTTAAGAAGAGATTGTAAGAACAAATTGTTCTCCTTGTAAGAAGAAATTGTTCTCCTTGTAAGAAGGAGTTGTTCTCCTTTTAAAAACAAATTGTTCTCCTTGTAAGTAGAAACTGTTCTCCTCGTAACCACAAATTGTTCTCCTTGTAACCACAAATTATTCTAAACTATTTCAATAACCGTTAACGCTTTCTAATCTGTTTATAAACCATTTTTTCTGCAGGAATTTTGGCATAAAGTGTCAAAAATCAAAAAGGGATGGCCCCTTCTCGGGCCTATGAATGGAAACCCCTTCCACCACAACAAAAAAGTGATGGATGTGGGATTGGATGTTTTCGATTATTTTTCTATACCTTGTCAACAATATCAATTGTGAGTTTTGCCTTGAATTCGAAATATGATCAAATTGACCAATAAGCTTCATTCAAGAATGACCGAAATATGCCCAATTCTATAAGCTTCATTCAAGAATAGCAGATTAGCCTTAATTTTGAAACTAAAGTTCATCCAGGCTTGAGAACAATCAACTGAAAAGATTACAAGAAACAAAAGTCCATTCAGGCTTTATCATTGGGTTTAATTGGAGCCTCGATTTACTCAATTGTACTTCGAGAAGAATTGCCTGCACTCCTCCATTCTTCATCTTATTCCTATCTTTTATTTGGTCTTCTTGGAATTGGTGGCTTCAGTCTTCTCACAAGTTTTATTTGTTGTTCGGCTGCTCGACAGAAATGTGTCACCACTTTTGTAAGTTTTCAAAAAGACAATTAAACTTTCAAATCTACAGCATCTTGTAAAGTAAAATATCAAAAAAAAACCAATTTTTAACCCGCTCAATCTCAAAAATTTCTTTTGACATTTATACATATTGGGTTGATGGAGAGTAAATGAAAGTGCAAGGATGAGGCTTCCCTAACTATTGGGTTGATGGAAAAGTCCTTTCCGATTTTTTGGGAGAGTACCTTAAATTTCTCCAATTTTGACGTTTTATAGCTCATCCTAAAGCTGAATTCAAGACGGATCGATTGGTAAAAACAGTTTTGAGATTCTTACACAATCATTTGACCTTTCAAATCTATTGGGTTGACGGAAAAGTCCTTTCCGATTTTTTCTATTAAATTTCTCCAATTTTGACGTTTTCAAACATCAAAAAAATGATAAAACAAAAAAAAAACGAGAAAAACGAAGGAAATGGCGAAAAGCGGCGGAAAAGCTATTGATCTGAGGGTCGCTGGTTCGACTTCCACCGGTGACAATATTTTTCAAAAATTTTTTGCTAAGATTCTGAAAATGCGTGTCTAGGGGTTATTTTTGACGCTGATCACGAAACACAGGTTTTTAGCCTAGGTTTCTGCACGGAAAACTAACGAAACTTGAAAACAGCCATTTTTTGGCTCTGCCGCCCTTTACTAAAATAGCTATAAAAACTTTTAGAAAAGAGATATCTCAAAACGGTTTTTACCAATCGATTCGTCTTGAATTCAGCTTTAGGATGAGCTATAAAACGTCGTCAAAATTGGACAAATTTAAGGTACTCTCCCAAAAAATAGGAAAGGACTTTTCCAACAACCCAATAGAATCAAAGCAAAGCTCAAAGCTAAACTTTAAAGACATCTGAATCTAACTTTAAACTCAAATATCTTCTTATTGAGCTATCCAAGAAAGAGAAGCGCCATTTGCTTTTGTGTACTCCAAAAAGGACAAGCTCGTCGAGACTTGTCAAGAAATGAGTAACTACCCGGTTATTCTTGCGCCACAAGAAGTTCACGAAGAAAACTTGCAAAATCTCGAATCGGAATTGAAATTTGAACCCTAATTCCATTATCCTGGAGGTCATGTTGTTTATATATGTCGTAGCCGATTAAGGATTTCAGCCGAAGAAGTCTCAGACTGAAGTCTCAAAAATGAAATCTATGACTCAAGTCAATACCACAAACTCAAGCTCTCAAAAAGGCGCTTAAAAGCTAAAAACGCTCTCTAAAAGCTCTCTAAAAGGCGCTAAAAACTAAAAACTTGTAGTGCGATTCTCTCTTCGATACGAATTGAATCAAGAGATGCTTTACAATCATGGGATCAAAGGCAATTTGGAAAAACCCAAGAAAGTCGTCAAGAACGAGGAGCTCTTTGGCCGGTTAACGATCAACAGAAATTAGTGTAGCTTAAACAAAAAATGCACAGTAACAAAAAGAAAAAATAGGATTGAAATAAGGGGTTATGTTCGATTATAAACAGATTAGTGGTAAACAAGTTTTATCGATGATCCAACAAAGGAGTCAAATTGACTTGCAAAAACAAACAATTCTATTTCAAATAAATGACGAATCAGATAGAAAATGGCGAAAAGGGCCCTTTCATAGCCTTTGGTTACAGTATGATAAAATGCGCACTCTTTAGAATGCGTTTTTAGCTTTTAAGCGCCTTTTAGAGAGCTTGAGTTTGTGGTATTGACTTGAGTCAATACATAACTCAAGATTTCATTTTTGAGACTTAATCGGCTAGCCGAAGAAGGCTTGCCTTTGATTGCCTTTGATCCCATGATTGTAAAGCACCTCTTGATTCAATTCGTATCGAAGAGAGAATCGCACTACAAGTTTTTAGTTTTTAGCGCCTTTTAGAGAGCTTTTAGAGAGCGTTTTTAGCTTTTAAGCGCCTTTTTGAGAGCTTGAGTTTGTGGTAGTGACTTGAGTCATAGATTTCATTTTTGAGACTTAATCGGCCAGCCGAAGAAGTCTGAGACTTAATCGGCTAGCCGAAGAAGGTTTCGCTAGCAAAAAAATTTGAGACTTAATCGGCTAGCCGAAGAAGTCTGAGACTTCTTCGGCTGAAATCCTTAATCGGCTACGACATATAAATCGATAGAGAAAGAATTGAAGAATCTAATGATAAAAAGAATTTATAAATTAAAAAGCTCAACACCAAGATATTTAAGCTTAAAGTTAGACAATGGGGAAAAGCTAATTGTTAAAGCTAACTGTTAAAGCTAATTGTTAAAGCTGTGGATCAAGTTTTCATTGAAGTTCATTGAATACAGTAAATCGAAAGCTTGACCATCATTAACCATTCAACAATTCAATCATTTTCAGTTCATCTTCTTGTTGTTTATTTCATTTCTGGCTGAAGCCACTTTATCGTATTTGGTGTTAGTCGAAGGGATGACTGCAGAGAGAAATATTCGACGAAATTTTCAAAGTGATGTCTTCAACGAATATGGAATTGATATGGAGATTACAAAATCGATTGACTCTGTGCAAATTGAGGTGGATTTCTAGCTTGAAATTGAATCTTTATCTATTAAAATAAAGAAATGAATGGTAAGAATTGAAGGATCGATCTTTTTACAATGGTAAGAATTGAAGCATTGATCTAATGTGACTAGATGTAGTGTTTCGCAGAGCTCAGTTCAGAGCTGAATCTTCAAGGATTAGCTGTCTAGTCTAGGCATTTTGCTTTCTATCTACTCCTTCTTCTCCAAAAAGAAATAGGAAAGAGGAAGAGAGAGAAAGAGAGAGAAATCTCTGCCCCTTTAAAACTTTAAATGATTTTAATAATTGCTTATTTAGGGTCATTGTTGTGGTGCTTATGGATTTGACGATTTTCTCAAGAATAGTCAAAGTGAAGAGGAAGAAGAAGAATATGTTGAAGGAGTAAGTCTTGTACTCTTTCTGTAACACTGAAAGGATGCGGTTCGATTTGAAGATCTAATTGGCTAGCTCAATTTCAGCAACGCAAACCCCGACGACAGTATGTGCCGGACACTTGCTGTAAGACAGTGAAAAGAAGCTGTGGATTGAATGATCATCCAAGCAATATCTATTACACGGTACTGAAAAAACTTATTCGAAAGATTGATGCTTTAGGGTTGTGAAAACTATCTTCAAGAATCGGTGAAGCAACATTTCCATTGCCTCTTCTTCACTTGTTTCTTTGCCGCTTTTGTTCATGTGAGTTGAAGTCTTAGAAATTAATTTCTTTCTTCGAAAAGTTTGTGTCAGTTTTACTTAGGAAACTTTTCCTGCAATAGTAAGCAAATGAAATTGTTCTTTCTTTTCTAACAGTTATAACAGAACAGTTCTTTCTGAGTTCTTATGTTTCACGAGAATAAAATAATTAGTGTAAGAGAAAGGGATTAGAGAAAGACTTTTGATGAGTCTCGCTGTTATGAGCCTCTTGGAAGGAGGGGCTTCCTTTGCGTTTATAGCTCAGTCGTAGAGCTTTTGTCCGGAAAGCGAACGGTCCTGGGGTCCCGGGCATAGTGGTGCATTCCTTTACAGAGGCTCAGGCTCAGCCTAAGCCTCAGACTTAGGCTCAGGCTCAGGCTTAGGCTCAGGCTTAGGCTTAGGCTCAGGCTTAGGCTTAGGCTTAGGCTCAGGCTTAGGCTTAGGCTTAGGCTTAGGCTTAGGCTTAGGCTCAGACTCAGGCTCAGACTCAGGCTCTATGTTTTTGACTTCAGTTAGAATCTAGCCTCTTAGAAAGTTTAGAAAGAAAGTTAAAAAGGTTAACGACTACTAACTTCTTTGACAATCGTTGATTTGATAAGATAAATTTCTATAGTATACTCAGAGGACATAATTTGATTAGAGCTAGTCATTCTTAAAACATGTCGGTAGATATGACCTTGTTAAGCCTAAAGTAATGCAACATCCTTTCAGCTCATTTAGCAAGCTGAAATGATGCATATGCAATCTAGATACATTCAAATTCTAAACTTAAAAGCCGGGTATTTTCTTTTTCTTCCTTTTTCTTCCCTCTTGTACTTCCTTTCTTCTCTGCCAAGAAAATACCAGAGAATTCAGTGATTAGAGCATTTACCTGGAAAGTAAAAGATAGCTCAGTGGTTAGAGCATTTACCTGGAAAGCAAAAAGATCAAGGGTTCAATCCCCTCTTTGGAAATCTTTCTTTACCACTCCTTACTTTACTTTACTACCAGCAGTGTCTCAAGTACCAAACATTCTTTTTCAGTTCCTCCAGCTTCTCTTCACGTGGTGTCTCTGTTGTCGTTTAGGGAAATGCGAGAAGTCTCCATTGCCCGATCATCTCCCGATCAACAAGGCGAATTCCATTCATGAGATGTCATTGTTTGATTAGAATCTTGCTTTATATTGATATCTTTTATCTATTCTAAGATAATCAACTCTTGCTTAATAGATTGGTGACTATTTTATCAAATTTTGACTATTTTTAGCAATTCTAGCCTAATCTCATGTACAGTCGAACTTCTCTACAACGTAACTCACGGGACCGGCTATAGTTTACGTTATATAGAGGCTTACGTTATACAGAGTTACGTTATATCGAGGTTTTTTTTATAGACATTTTGTATTACATTTGGCCGGGACCGGTCACGCCTTACGTTATAGAGAGGTTTACGTTATATCGAGGTTCGTTATAGAGAGGTTCGACTGTACTTTAGTCACCTGAAAGCTGCATACGCTTGAAAATCAAATAAAAGCGGCAATATTGAAGGTTGAAAGATGTTGTAAATGCTTTCAAAGTATAAGGTTATTTGATTTTTCTAGAATAGGTAGATAGATATTAATATAATCACTCAAAAAATGAAATTTAACTAACCAGGGAACCTTCCCAAGTTACCCGCGAGTTACAATATAGGTGCGTACATTTTCAGGCCTTTCTTTTTGCACATACCTCATACTCGCGGGTAACTTGGGAAGGTTCCATGGTTAGTTAAATTTCATGTTTTGAGTGATTACATGGTTTTGGTACCCTGGTAAGCAATTCTAGCCTAATCTCATGTACTTTAGTCAGCAAACGCTACCTGAAAGCTGCATACACTTGAAAATCAAATAAAAGCGGCAATATTGAGACTTGAAACATGTTGTAAATGGTCTAAATACTTTAAAAGTATAAAGATATTTGATTATTCTAGAATAGGTAGATAAAAAGTATCAATACAACCACTCAAAACATTAGATCCAACTAAGCCAGAATAAAAGTGACCTCTCTCAACCACCAAAGTACCGATTTATCTAACTTATTATCATCAGATTTGTTAAGAGACACAAATTTTCTTCTTGTCCCATTGTCATCTTGCCATAGAAGATTCATTCTTTTGGGTAGGCTAATTTCCCCAACTTTTTTGCCCAACAGGGTCATTTGCACAACTCGCCATAAATTACTTCTAAGTCGGCCAATCTTTATGATTTTGGTTTCATTTTGTTGCAATTATTGAGATCTACAAAATGAAACCAAAAGCATAAAGATTGGCCCAATTAGAAGAAAGTTATGCCGACTTGCCCAAACGACCTAGTTTCGCAAATGACCCTGGCAAAGAAATTAGCGGAAATTACCCTCTTTCTCATATGAGCTTTTTCTTCATTTTCTTTGTTTCATTGAATATCTTTTCTATTATTTGAAAGCTATTCAGTGAATCAAAAGATCTTTTAACAAATATTTTCTTTAAAAATGAATCAATCATCATCTAATTTTTCAAAAAATTGTTGATTTTCAATTTTTCTTTTGTTTAATTTATTCTCATTGTTTTCCAATTGTGTCTTTTGTGTTTTTTATTTGATTTTTTCGTGTTTTAAACACTGATTTTGTGAAATTGTAAATTGTGAATTCTTTGAATTCATTTTGCAAAATTTTTTTCATTTCTCTTTCTTGCGGGTTTAGTTTTTTTCATTTCAGTTGAAATTTTCTTTTTATTTTTTTTTTTTTTGATTTTTAACTCTCGTTTCCGGTGAATCAAATGGTTCTATTAGAAAATAAAGAATAAGATAAAGATAAAGAAAACAAAGAAAACAAAGAAAACAAAGAAAACAAAGAAAACAAAGAAACAAAAAACAAAGTTTGTTTAAAGTTTGTTTTCTTTTGTAAACAAAGAAAACAAACTTTAAACGAAGAGAACAGAATGAAAATTAGAGAGTTTTAAAGGATATTTTGTAAGTAAAAGATACACTTTGTGATATTAGACATGGGAAAATTTGAAACCGAATTAAATTCCACCATCGTTCTCTCAGCCGTTTCTTGGCTCCTTGTCTACAAGTTGAAAAACTCGATTTCTATTTGTAGACAAGATTTCAGAGGAAAAAAGTAAAGTAAAGAAGTAAAGTCTTTTAAAGTAAAGTCTTTTAAAGTAAAATCTTTTAAAGTAAAGTCCTTTCAAGTAAAGTCCTTTCAAGTAAAGTCCTTTCAAGTAAAGTCCTTTCAAGTAAAGTCTTTTAAAGTAAAGTCCTTTCAAGTAAAGTCCTTTCAAGTAAAGTCCTTTAAAGTAAAGTCTTAACATCTTAACATTCACTTCTCTTTACAGGATCTAAACAAATCCAAAGCTTAAATCCTTTTCCTCTAACTTGAAACGTCTCAGTTCTTTATGAATCAGAAAAGATGTGTTTCCATTTTTTCATCTCTCAAGTCGAGCACTCGATATTTAAGAGTATTTATGTTCAAAATCTAGCAATAAGGTCAAGCGAGTGTGCCAGAAAGACTGTGTTTTTAAATAAAACTAAAATCTGAACTCTGTAAAGTAAAGTAAAGAAGTAAAGTCTTAACATTCACATCTTTACAGTATCTAAACAAATTCAAAGCTTAAATCCTTTTCCTCTAACTTGAAACGTCTCAAGTTCTTTTCAGAGCAATCGTTTAAGAAAATGAAGATGAAATTTTCCTGTCTAGTAAGACATTTGCTCTGACAAAGTTCAATGAAAAGCCAAAGCTAGAAAGACATCAACTAATCTAATCTCAGCTATGCTACGATACAAGTGATTAGCTTACGGTACAAGTCTTAACATTCACATCTTTACAGTATACAAATCCAATGCTTAAATACTTTTTCTTTAACTTGAAACGCCTCAATTTCTTTTCAGAGCAATGAAAATGAAATTTTCCTATCTAGTAAGACATTTGCTCTGACAAAGTTCAATGAAAAGCCTCAAATTTGCTAGAAAGACATCAACCAATCTAACCTCAGCTCTGCTACGATACAAGTGATTAGCTTACGGTAAAAGTCTTAACATTCACATCTTTACAGTATACAAATCCAATGCTTAAATACTTTTCCTTTAACTTGAAAAGTCTCAGTTCTTTATGAATCAGAAAAGATGTATTTCCATTTTTGCATCTCTCAAGTCGAGCACGATAATTAAGAATATTTATCTTCAAAATCTAGCAATAAGGTCAAGCGAGTGTGCCAGAAAGACTGTGTTTTCAAATAAAACTAAAAACTGAACTCTGTACTCACTTAAGCTTTATAAAGTTTGCCGAAAAATCTATTACAAATCTTTTACCATTACTAAAAGCTTACTCATTGATTCAATTCTCGCTTTTTTTATAGTTTTTATAAAAATAAAGCCTCCATTCATGATAATTTCATTGAGAGTTTCACCCGAAATAAACTAATTTCCTTTACGTGAGGTTTATAAAAATAGATTGACGCGTAAACGCCCTTGTTGAAGGTTTTTTTTTGGTCACATGGTTTTTGATTCAAACAAATTTGTCATAAAGTAAAGTTCTTGAAGAAATTTGTATCTAGCTTCTTTTTGAAATAAGAAAGCCTTTAATTTTTGACAAAATTATGTTTCTTTCATCTGCTTGCAGCTTCATTGTTTAATAATTGTTAATACATTAATATTTAATGTAAATACTTGTTTAATTTCTAAAGTGCTGCAGTTTTTCTAGAGATGTTTCAACTAAAAGTAATTCAGACCAGGCTAGAAGCCAGGTCTAGGTCTGATTCTGTAAACTAAGTGGGTTACAGTAAATCGATCCAGCACTAAACTTGGCTTAACTCAGGAAATCTACTTTTAAACAATCCTTCCAGGTTACCAGAAATTGACTTTATTAAGCAGATATTAAACAGAGGTTTTATTAAAAAGATATTAACAAGAGGCTTTATTTAACAGATATTAAACAGAGGCTTTATTTAAGCAGATATTAAACTAGAGGCTTTATTTAAGCAGATATTAAACTAGAGGCTTTTTTAAAAGATATTAAACAAAGCCTTTATTTAACACTTCAAACAAGATCAAACTCTTGGTTAAAGATTGAACAATTTGTTGTTTAACTATTTTCACCTCAATTTGCATTATTTCTCTCATTTAAACAAGAAATACAACAAGAAATCTCTTTTATTTTTTTCTTTTATCTGACCAAACTAATCTTTCAAATTAAATTATTCAAATTCAAAGAACAATTGAATTATTATTCAGATTATTCAAATTAAAACCTTTTAACTACAAGATTTCTAGTGAAAATGACTAAGATTTAAAGAAAAGAAAAAGAAAAGAAAAACAATGTGCACACGCAAACCCCTAAAGCTTTTCTTTTCCCTTTTTCTTTAGCTTAAAATAAAATTCCCTTCAATTTCCTGTCTCCTAAAAACAAAAAAAATTTAAAGAAAAAAAAAGAACACAAATTTTCTCACGGAAGTTAGATTTACATTTTTTATTCTCTCTAAAAAAAGTTTAGTGTAAAAAGAATGATTTTTTTTAATCTATTTTCTCCTTTTTTCAAAGCAATTTCCTCTCCTTTCAATAAGTTTAAACTGCAATTTTTTTTTTTTGAATAAAATTTGAAATCATTTTTTTTTCAAATAAACTACCAATTGTTGAGTCGATTTTCGATTTATAGATAACTTTATTTGAATGATCCCAATGATTATTTGTGATTTAAACCTAGTAAAAACCTTATTTAACTACCGTAAATACTGTAATAGTACCCCACTTCCCTCGTACAGTCGCGTAGTCGCAAAAGTTTTTTAGTATTTCATTTTTTTCAAAGCGCCCGTACGTTCAAAAAATTCGTCTTTGGTATCAAAAAATAGCTGAAATTCAGGGCTATTTTTTGATACCGAAGATAATGACGGTGCGGAGTGTTGCGTAGTCTAACTTTGGACGCGTTTTTCTCGACACTGGTTTATGCTACAATGCTCGCTTTAGTATCAAAAAATAGCCCTGAATTTCAGCTATTTTTTGATACCAAAGCGCGCATTGTAGCTTAAACCAGTGTCGAGAAAAACGCGTCCAAAGCTAGACTACGTAACACTCCGCACCGTCATTATCTTCGGTATCAAAAAAGCGTCTTTGATATCAAAAAGTAGCTGAAATTCAGGGCTATTTTTTGATACCGAA